AAGAATCGCACAAAAAGAATCGCACAAAAAAAAGAATCGCACAAAAAGAATCGCACAAAAAAAGCGCATAAAAAAATATCGCACAAAAACAGGTTTGACTGTATGTTTAAATTGTTTCTCGACAATTACATCCCCCTTACTTTCAATACTTTCATAGATTTTGAAAAAAAAAAACAAAATGCTAAAGCATCACAAGAGAGTTTAGCTCACATTCTTCGTGAAAAGAAGGCTTTTCTCAACCGGCAATCAGTAGTAGTAGTAATTGGCGGGCAGAGATCAGAACTGAAATGATTGCCGTCAGTGATATGCTATGCATCTCAAGAGATACAATGGTATAACAAAATACAACCAATGTCCAATTTCCGTGGGCTGCGTCTCCCACAATGTGTGGGGGGGACTTGTCAGTGTTCCTTGTCATGGTTTTGTTAATCTCATTTCTCTTGAGATACGCTAGCTTGTAAGTTTGAAATCGCCATCTTGATACCAAGTATCTGAAAGATTTGTCAAGATGACGCCTAGTTGAAAATCCGCTACTCATAATTTTCGCGACTGATTCTACTACAAGAAGCTTTTGAAAACTGTTGGATGACAGGGGAATTTATTTGATAACCAGCTCAAGGCTCTTCATTAGATTAGTTCTAAAACATGGTCTTTAAACTCGCGGCATAATCGACTTGTAATGTGTTTTGTGAGTACTGACTGCTTTTTTCTTCTTCGCTGCAAGATTAATTAGCCGAAGTTTATCTGCACACCCTAGCACTTTCATGTGCTCTCTCCAAAACGATATTTGCCTTAGTTCATGTAGACAGGAAATTGAACTTTTTTTTGTCGTTCGAACATTTCATTAAATCTTTACATCTTATCCTTAAAACTTTTATTATCGCATAGGAACAAAGTATCGGTTCATTAAATTGTCAAGCGAAAGATCATCTTCTCTGGTAGAGCAAGTCATTGCATTCTTATTATTATTCATCACATACACGAATAAAGTTTGCATTTGTTTATTTACCTCTCGCATTACTACTATCAAAATTGATTTGCAAGTTTTTTTTTTCTTTATCAAAATTATTGGTTTTTTGTTTTTTTTTTTGTCGACACCAACTGCCCAACGCTTTGCCGTAAGAATATCTGATCACTTTTCAATCCATACCGTCGTTCAACGTACAACCGATTAAGAAATGAAAAACGTTCGGGCGTTGTACCACTCCCTTTTTTCTTTAGTTCTGCAGCTAGTATATCTCAAAAGAAAAGATTAAAAAGAAAACACTCTGAACAATCTCGTTTTATAAGGACAACGGGACGAAGAGCAAAAGTGTAGTGTCACTACAAGAAGAGGATATTAAAAGTATACCAAAATCCCATAAATCAACCGATAAAAGAAATTGTTTCACATTTCGAAAATAATTTAGGACATTCGTCAGGTCGCCGGTTGACACGCAAACAGCAGCGAGGTTAGGCATATTCATCTAAGTAAGCAGGAATTCGCGTTACATTCATTCAATTTTTATTAACGCAGTTCCCGGCAGTCTCTCAACTTAGTCGACATGGTTTGTGGTTATCGTTTGCGAGCCTTCACTATACAATCCTTCTTTCCACTATGATACTTGGAGAACTCTCTGTGTTCGCATAGAAGCGTCTCTTGTGAACCAATCACTTTTGATGGCCTTTATATTGTTACCTAACTACCTTATACAAAATATCGGCATAAGGCACATATATCCTT